AAAAAAAAAAAAATTTAAAAATGTAAATCATGGTCTTAATGTGGACTAGATTTGGCCTTCAAGCCATAGTTTGCCAAGCTCTGTTCTAGAGTAATTTTAAGTGACCCAAATGAATGGGCCATGAATATACATAAACATAGCAAAATAAAACAACTTGAGAATATAATAGTGGCTTCTACTTTTAGACATTAAGTTGGAAAAGAAAGAACCAAATGGAACCAAGTAGAAAGAATTACATATTTCAGGCAACTACTTTGGTATCCCTTTCATTCCTTCTCTGCTAACCAAAACAAAGTGAAAACCATTTGCATGTGGTCCTGATTTGCTCTCCCTGGAATGTGTTTTATGCATCTGTTTGTGAGCATTCATATATAACAATTGAATTGTTACTATATTAGGCTTTAAATGTTGGGTGTCGTCATAATGCATTTTACTTACTAATTTCATCTCTTACAGATAGAGATAGACAATGGGGATGAGCTGACTGCAGACTTCCTTTATGAAGAAGTACACCCCAAGCAGCATGCACATAAGCAGAGTTTTGCAAAACCCAAAGGTCCTGCAGGAAAAAGAGGAATTAGAAGACTAATCAGAGGTCCAGCTGAAACTGAAGCCACTACTGATTAAAAACACTGTTATTAAGTACTATAATACTAGTTTTATAAAACTCCAGCTTTTAGTACAGGATAACTGAAATCATTCCATATTGATATATAGTAGGGGAAAATGTACTTTTTGAAAAATAGCACTTTTCACTTCTGTGTGTTTTTAAAATTAATGTTATAAGAAAACTCATGATTTCTATTTTTGAGTTAAAGTGAAAAAGGTTTGACATAGTAATATTTAGTTTTGTCACACTGTTTTCATAGTGATAATTTCACATAACTGAAATTTTATACAGTTGGGCCAATTATAGAAAGTCTAATGTCTCAAAGTAAGATACACTGTTTGATGAAACATCGATTTTTTTTTTTTCATTAAGGGAATGGGAATGACTAAAATACTCATACACATAATGATTATGTTAATGGCCAGGTTATATTATTTTCTAAGCTGGACGCTTAGTGTGCCTAGGAGAAGGTGGAAAGCCGCTTACTCTAAGAACAGTGCTAACTTTCAGATGAGGGATCATGTCTGCAGCTTTTAGGAACAATGCTTTAATGCAGCAGTCTTTTCTATTTGATTTTTTTGTTTTTTAAATGGCATTAAAATTTCAGAAGATCAGCTCACTCTGAAACCTTCAAGGGTACAGATATTTTCTATAACGCAGGATTTCTGATGACATTGAAAGAATGTTGAGACAGCTTTGGTAAATTCTGTTTTAGTGCTTAAAAATTTCTATTTCAAAAGTAAGTCATTTCATTAGAAGTATCATAAGGACAAATATTTATGTATGAGTTGAAAATTAAATTAATACCCAACACTACCACTAAAGTCAATAATGTGAGCAGGTTTTAAACATGCTACTTCTTTTCCACCTGTGTATATTGCATAAGGTGTATTGTGTTCTTTGACCATTTTTGAGCAAATATTCAGATTTAATAATTCTTATTGAAGTCCTGGTACTTACCACCCTAACACAGATGTACACTTCAGAAGCTTGTTTCAGTTTATACTTTATCTTAAAACATCTGTTTTCTAAAGCTTTGCATTTTCAGTTACAGTCTACAGAGATTTTGAGCCTCATTTTTCGTTGATACTTGAAGTAGAGGGAGCTAGAACACTTCATATTTTAACCTGCTGCAGGAGCCATAACTTAAGGAGTTTTCTAAATGAACTGTGGAGATCCAAGGTTTAGAATTTCTTCACCTAAACTTTATGCTGCATAAAACAGATAATAGAAATGGACATTTCATAGTATAAAGTATGAAACACACATTTTTATACTTTATTATCTAAGGAAGTATATGCACCTTTCAGAAATCCATTATCTGTCAAGCAAAGCATATTAGAATAATGGATTTTTTTCCCTACAATTATTAAATGTTTGTATGGAGTTTTGTTTACAAATAATCAGACTATAATATTTAAACATGCAAAACAATCAACAGTAATATTGCACTTGTTTACTAAAGGTAGACTTTACGTTGTCCCATGGATGCACACAGACACACACAGATCACTGCGTTGCAAGTCCTGGAACTGTGCTGTAGAACAGAATAGAAGCTGTTATTCAGCCAGCAGACTGTTAATCCATCTTGAAGGTATAAAGTAATTTAGTAGTGAATGTTTTTATGTACCATTCATGTGCAATTATACTCTAAATTCTACTACACTACATGAAAGTCAATGGACATTCCAGAATATAGATGTGATTATATAGTCTTAAACTAATTATTATTAAACCAATGATTGCTGAAAATCAGTGATGCGTTTGTTATATAGAGTATAACTCATCGTTTACAGTATGTTTTAGATGGCGTTGTCATAACAATAGGAGATGAATAAAGTATTCCCAATAAATTTATATAGCAGTGAAGAAGTACATGCCTTCTGTGGACATTTTATAAGTGCATTTTATATTGCAATAAAAATCTTTTCTCTTTAAATTGTGTACTAAGTTTATTTTCTAGTATAATCTTTATTTTTAAAAATGTTTGGATAATTCTGCATAGTGCATAACTGGTGGTAAGTTAGGAATCCATTTATCCATTCAGTTGTTAATTTGACCAAATCTAAAAGAATTTTAATTATACTTAAAATCTAGGAAAACTTAGATTAGAACTTTTCCACTGCTATAAGAATGAAAATAGCATGCATTTTATAGTTCCTACGGTGATAGAAAGGCCCTACAGTGCTATCACCCTACAGTGATAGAAGGTGACTAACATACTTGACATGAAAGTCTTAAGAGACATGCTATTCATTCATCCCATGAATATGGAATGCTCTCCTGTGTGCCATTCAGTATCAAATTGGCCCTTTAAGAGAGTTTTATTACTGACAAAGTATTTGACAGTAGTTTCCCAAATGTTGGGGTAATTCTTGGAAGGGCTGATTTTAAAAATAGTACTTAAATAAGTTAACTTCTCTAAGGAATTTCTACTGAAAAGTAATGTGCTTTAGGTAGTTATGGTTCATTCTGTACCCTTCATAGATCCTCTGCAATACAGCCATCAGCCACAAGAATGGTAGGTTTTCTTTTAAAGATACATGGCCTTCACATTAGAGACTACGATACAGTTTGTGGGCCCATAATCCTTTGGTTCCCCAAGAAACTCATGTAGCCACAGCAGATACAGTTTGCCTTAAATAATATAGATAGCTGTGAGCCTTCTGACCCCTGCCCCTCATCCCCTTCCGACAAACACCATTCTTTCAACAAACTTCACAAGTATTACTAGTACTGGTATTTCATGGTAACAATATCTGGCCCCTCCTTTGTAGTGTAGTATTTCCTGCGTGTGTTCATTTATTTGTTGTAGGTTTTTTTGTAGAGCCTTTTGGATTTTCAAAGTATATTATTAAGTCACCAGCAAATAGTGATAGCTTCACTTCCCTTGTCCCAATTGGGATTCCTTTTATGCCTTTTTCTTTCCAAATTACTTTGGCTAGGACAAGGACATACTTGTCTTGTTCCTGCTCTGAGAAGTGTTTTCAGTTTTTCAACATTTAGTATGAGATTGGTTATAGATTTTGCATTTATGACCTTTATTATGTTGAGATGTTCCTTTTATTGTCATTACATTGAGGTCTTTTTTTAAAAATCATAATAAATAGGTATCGAATCTTGTCATACTTTTTCAGCATTTATTGAAATAATTATTTGATTTTTATTCTTTTTTTTTAATGTGATAAATGCATATGTTGAACCAATCTTGCATCCTTGAATGACTCCCACTTGATCATGATGGATGATTCTCTTAATATACTGCTGGATTCGATGGGTCCAGATTTATTGAGGATTTTTTTAAAAAACGATTTATTTATGCTTACAGAACTGGATTACAGGCCAGTGTGGTAGTTGAGAGGATTCACTAGAGACAGAGTGAGTAGGGAGCAGAACACGCAGATCTACTGAAATACACTGCTGAGGGGAGCAGTGGGAGGGTCAGGAGAGGTTGACTATGTCATGTGGGTCAGCTCCCTGACCAGGGATCAAACTTGTGCTGCAGTGGCTTTGGAGAGCTTCATACTGCAGTGCTTTAACCCATTGTGTCAGCAGGGAGAGTCCCTTGTTGAGGATTTTTACATATAGTCATGGGAAACATTAGTTTCCTGCCCTGCCTTTTCCTTCCCTTCACTTATAAAAGGTGTTTGGGAAATTTCCCTTCTCTTTAATCTTTTTGGAGAAGTTTGAAAATGACAGGTATGAAATCTTCTGAAGGTTTGGCAGAGTGAAACAATGAAAATGACAGGTATGAAATCTAAAGGTTTGGCAGAGTGAAACGATCTGGTTCTAGATTGTAGGGAAATTTTTGATTAAGCTTTCAATTTCTTTGCTTGTGGCTAGTCTGTTCAAGTTGTCTCTCAACCTGGTTCAGTCTTGGACAGTTCTTGGTACCAAAAATTTGTCCATATCTTCTAGATTGTGCAATATGTTTGCATATAGACATTCCTAGTAGTGTTGTCTGATCCTTTTTAACTTTCACTGTTGTGTTTTCACCTCCTTCACTTCTAAGTCTTATTTGGAGTTCCTCTTTTTTTTTTTTTTAAGATTTATTTATTTATTTGTACAGAACTGGGGTACAGGCCAGAGATGTGGAGGGTGAGAGGTTCACCAGAGACAGAGTGGGGAGCAGAACAGGCAGATCGATGAAGTACATTGCTGAGGGGAGCAGCGGGCGGGTCAGGAGAGGTCTGCCACGCCATGTGGATCTCCTCCAGGGCAGGCGGGGATCGAATTCATGAGGAAGTGGTTTAAGCTCCTTTGTGCTGTGCTTTAACCTGCTGCGCCAGGAGGGAGGGCCAGGAGTTCCTCTCTTTGTGTGGGGATGTTCCACACCTATTTTGAGAACTGTTCTTGGTTTTGTTATCTTTTGTATCTTCTTTTTGCTTTCTATTTTGTTTATTCCATTCTAATTTTAATAATTTCTTTCTACTGATTTTTGGTTTCATTCATTATTTTTTTTTTGTTCCTTCAGGTGTAAAGTTAATTTACTTGAGACATCTCTTGTTAATAGTTATATGTTCCTGTAATGTTCTGTTTTCCTCTTAATATCACTTTTGATGCATCCCATTGGACCTGGTAGTTTGTTTCTTTTCTTAAAGATTTATTTATTTATGCATACAGAACTGGGGAACAAGCAAGAGGAGCAGGGACGGTGAGATTGACCAGAAACAGAATGGGATGCAGAGTAGGCAGATCGACAAAGTACACTGTTGAGGGGGAGCAATGGGAGAGACAGAAGAGGTCTAAAGCACCATGTGGATCACTTCTGGGACAGGGGATTGAATTCCCACTAAAGCGGCTGCATCCAGCTTGCAGTGCTGTGTCCTAACCTGTTGCACCACCAGGAGGGCCTCTCTTTATTTTCATTAGTCTCCATATTTTTTATTTCTACTTTTGATTTTAATTTCTCCATCAATCCAAGAGTTATTTAAACACATTTTTCTTAGTCTCCACATATTTGACTATTTTCTGGAGTTCTTTTTCTTTTTTTTTTTTGTGGTTGCTTTTCAACCTTATGCAATTGTGATCAGAAAACCTGTTTGACATAACTTATATTTTCATACAGTTTTTTAGACATGTTTTCTGTCCCAGCATATGACTGAGCTTTGAGAATCTTATGTGTTGAGAAGAATGTGTATTCATTTCTTTTGGGATAGAAGGCTCTGTAAATATCTAAATTAATCTAAATTAATAGGAGGTCCATCTGCTTCTTAGAACAGTCTCTACTCAACTTAGTTAACAGCTTCTAAGTGGATAGAAAGTTCTTTAAACATCTTAAGCGAATAAATGTCCCAGTCTTTGCCAGCGACAGCTGATATATGTCAAGACACACTTTCCAGACTAAATTTTAGTCTGACTTCTTGATTGAAGAGAGCTTCTAGGTTAGGCAGAAGTGAGTGTTTAGTGTCTTCTTTTATATTGAGAAATGGTCAATATAGTGCAGGAGAAATTCAGGTTTTTCTAGAGAAGTCTTACAAAAGTTCTACTATTCTAAGAAAACCAACTAGAATACAGGATGGTCTTTGTCCCACATGATCTAAAGCACAACTTCCCTTCATGTGCATTTTGGGGGGAAAAATGCTTTAACCAATTTGAAAGAAAAGTAAAACCTTGGGTGTAAGATTTCTTTTCTCAAACTGGATTCAGTAAGAGACTGGAGAAGAGCTTCAGGTTGCTGCTTACATCAGTGGTCCCTATGGGATCAGACTAAAGGATTTGCATCATATTGGACAAATTGTGAGGTGCCTGCTGCTGTAATGAGGAATAAATAATTAAAGAACTACTATTTACCACCTGAAGAATTCTTTAAAGTTTGAATTTTGGGGTAACATATGTCAAGGTTCTGTCCTGGTTTTCCTTTTCTGAAAGTTACAAATTAATAATTTGTGGCCTGCAAATTGCCACTTATTAACAGATACTGTAGGATGTATTTTCTGGTATTTACTCAAAAGGAAGAGAAAAAGTAGTTCTTCATAGGAGTCTTTTTTCTCTGATATCTTAAATGTCAATAATCACAAAAATCTCTTAACTTTTCTCTACTATAAATCTGCATTAATAAATATGTTATTGCCTTGAGTCTAGCACCTAGAGGGTACTTAGACAAAGAGGATTCTTCTTCCCATCCAACTGACCATACTTCGAAGTTTATTTGATTAATATTAAGCACTTTCACTTTCTGGGGTATGAGAATTCATGACTTATGATGTCATTCACGCAGAAAGTAAAACAGAAGAGACTCTGAGTCAACTGCTTGGGTTTCTACTTCCACTGTTTAGAGGGGCGCTATAGTCTCGTATCTGTGACCATCACACACTGCTCAATGGCTTCCTCTATGTAGTTCCCCTGAACATTAGCCACAGGATCTTGTACTTCCAAGTGACTTCCAAATGACTGGTGGGTATTTGTTGTTGATTACCCCCTGCTCTTCAGAAAAATTATAATCCATACACTGTTCACTTTTTATATGCTCATTGCTTTTAATGCCTGAAACACAGGCAGGTAACTGGACCATAGAAAATAACCAAGAAATACTGGTAAACTAATTTAATAGTTACTGTTTTAGTTGAGAGTATTTCATAAGATGATTTCCACCCCCTCCCCATTTCTTTGAGGAATACAATTTTTCATTCATTCTGCAAATTCATTGCTTTTGCTTTCCTACTTACTACTTTAGAATTTGAATGACTTAAAAGTCATTCCTGTGTGTGTACACTTCTGTAGTAGAATAATACATACTTTAAAGAGTATGAGAAGAAATTGGTTGAAGGGTACAGAGAAAGAAGTACATGTGATACAAAACATAACGACATATTTGATAACACTGTATTCTATGTTTGAACTTACTAGGAGAGTACATTAAAATATCAAAAATAAGAAAAAGTAATTATGTGAAGTGATTACACTGGCCATAGCAAATGATTATTCGCTATACACTGTTTAGACATTCCTAAATGCCTTCTTAGGGAAGACAGTACTCCTTTCAAATTACCTTTGTAAACTAAGCTATCAGAAGCATTTGCTAGCTGAAATGAAAACTAAATTAAATGACTTAGTTAATCTCAACAGAAACCCCTATGTGGTATGGATTTTGTCTTCCTTGCTAGTAACTGGAAGGTAGCTCTCATCTCTAAGGCCACCCTTTATCTCAGCCAATGTGACTCTTTTTAGTCCAGTGGTTTACTTTCTCAAGGCCAACAGACTCTCAGTTTCACTACTTCTGTATCCCTGTGGATACTTTAAGTCAGCATCTGCAAAGTTCCTTCAACTCTGCCATAGAACTTCACTGAAAATGACATACCGTCAGGGCATATTGGGTTGTGGTGAAGGATTGTTTAAAATAGCACACTATGAAGATGATGCCACAGATAATGATGGCAATAGGATTTTATAACCATCAGAGAGACAGCAAATATTAGTCCAAAGTCACACAAATAAAATATCAAGTTTCAAAGACACTGGGAATTTTACAGCCAATTAGTAGTTGAGTTGGGTTTCAGTGATGGGTCCTTTCAACCTGTGGTTCAGTACTTTTTTTGTTAATCCTGTAGTTTGCAAACTGTTTGGTGTGGTTCGAGATGTCTTAGAGACTGCTATAAGAACTGGGGTAGCAGTGGGAAGGTAGGGCTAAGCAGCAACATGGTAGCTCTGCTTTTGTTTGTTCTATATGCTGGGGGTGCTACATAAGCTGTAATAATATATATGCTTCCAGTAAAGACAAGAAGGTTTACAAAAAATTTAATTAAAAACATGTCTTGGAGAGCTATAGATGAAAAGCCAAGAGTTTTAAAGGCCAAGTTTTAAGATGCTGTCCTTTCTTGCAGTTGCTGTTGAACCTTTTATTAAAAAAAGAGAGAAAACAAAATCAAAAACAAAAGAATTGGTTTGAAATGTGCACTTAGGGGGAAAACTTGATACACCCCACAGCCTTACCTCTTACTTGTAAAAATGAATACCTTGCTTTATAAGTAATTGTAATAAGTAATACCTTCTTAATATCTGGTCTCTTGTTTTTCTTTTCATGCAGACACTGAGTAGCAACAGTGTACATATTTTCAATGGATGTGGAATCGATGTCATTCATCTTTTTATCAACATAATCATCAATAGTTTTTTCTTCATCTTCAATTTCTTCTTTAATATCCAGCTTTAAAATGAACATTCACATTTTGAATTTCAAATGCAAGGGAAAAATATAAATTTTAATGGTTTAGCCTACTTTATGATAACATGTACTCTTACCTATTTTGTATTACTTTAAAAATTGAAGACAGACAAGAGAAGTCTTTCATAAACACACACAAGCATACTTACCTACTAGATACCATCAGCTATTTATTTGCCCTCTAATTTTTATTAGTGACTGAGATAGAGGCTCTCAGGCCCCAGTGAGTAGTCTCTCCTAGGCTGCCAGCACAGGTCTGTTTTCTGATGTGCTTCTGATAATGCAATGTCAACTTCTGGACCTAGATTCTGCCTCCCTGCACAGGCAAACTTCTTTAGGGGCACTTACATTGTTGAAAAAAAAAGATGACACACAGGAGAGGGTCACAATGAAAAAGTAGTGAATAAGGAGAGCGATACAGGAGTAGGCTGTTAGAGTGAGTTGAGAGGTAGATCCCCAAAAAGATACATCCATGTCCTAATCTCCAGAACCTGTGGACATGATCTTATTTAGAGAGAAACTGTTTTTGTAGATGTAATGAAGGAAATTATTTTCAGGACTACCCAGGTAAGCTCTAAATGCAAGAAAGAAAGCAGACTAAATCAGAAGACAGTATGGAGGGAAGCCCAACGTGACTGCAACTCAAGAATGTTGCACCCACAAAAAACTGGAAGACATGGGGCAGATTATCTGTGACAGCCACACTCAAGGTAATAATACCCTGTAAAACCTTGGTTTCAGACTTCTGGCTCCCAGAACTAACAGAGAACAAACCTGTCATTTAAAACCCCAAGTTATGGGAAATTTTTTTTTTTTTTACAGGAAACTAATACAGATGGAAAAGACCAGGTGAGGTTGGTTATAAACACTCCAGTTTCCAAGGATGAATTTAGAAAGTGTAACGGCAGAATCTAGTGATGTAAAGGTACTTTAAAATATTCATTTTTGGGCTCTCCCTGCCGCTTTGGTACAAGTTTGATCCTTGCCCCGAAGGTGATCCACTTGGCATGGCAGACCTCTCCTGTTTCACCTGCTGCTCCCCTCAAAAGTACTTCACTGATCTGTCTGATCTGCTCCCAACTCTGGCTATGGTGAATCCTCTCACCACAACTGTACCTCTGCTCTGTATCCCAGTTATGTATGCAGAAGTAAATCTTTAAAAAAAATAAATAAAAGATTCACTTTCAGAAGCTGCACTTCTATCAAAATCTTAATTTAGAGTCACAACACATTCAAATCTTAAAAATTAAGTGCAAGAGTAGAATCTTTCCTTTATAAGTTTTATGATTTTCACTGTGACTAAGATGGAGTTTATGTTTTTCTGTATTTCATCCTTATTGTATTTACAGCCTTAAAAAAGTTACAGTTTTGTTACTTTTATAACCCCCTGAAAGGGAAAACAATCTTAAGTAAGAGGATAGAAAATCAGACAAGTAAGACTTACTTAAAAAGTGTTGCAAGTTAGTAAAACACTGGATTCCATCTTTAGCCTCCATACTTTTTTGCTCATCCTCCTATATTTTTAACTCATGTGTTTTCTCTGTATAGTCCAATATATTCAAAGTTTTATCTATGCCTATACACTAATGGGTCAAATACTGCATAATCTTCCCTGACCTCTAACAATGAGACAGAAAATTTTATTTCTTTGATGAAGACAAAACTTCATTTTTTTATGTATGACTGTAAAAAGTCCAAAATTTAGTAATAACCTTAAACAGTAAAATTATGTTCTGTAAGTATATATTAATGCAAAATATTAGGTAGCATGTAATATTTCATTACTACATTTCCAATATATTGTAGAAATTTTTAAATGTACAGTTTTACAAGAGATACCCACAATATTGTATTTATTGCTTTTTTCAAAAAAGTATGACGGCAGACCCTTTTGATTTTCTAATCTCCATTTTAGGGAATAATTTGATACATGGATACTGTCTGAATTTGACAAACTGTTTTGTCCCAGTAGAATAGTTATATAAATGTAATTTTGGTGCCATTACTTAATTTTAAGAAAACCTATAAATGATGGTAGGTAAAAAGACTCTCTAAGTTCTTAAACTTTAAACTTTACTATATATGAAAAAAAGACATGGCATAATTTCCCTATTGTGTCAGTGTTCAGTTAGTCTGTTTATGTACTTGTCAATAGTGCTTAACTCTACAGAGAGTATAACTTTATATAATTTCATAAATAAAATACTCCATAAAAGAATAAATAATTTTACTAGCAATTCTACCCTGAAATAAATTTAGTTAGAAGCCATGTTATTATTTGTTTTTGAACTGAAAAACCTATTGGTATTCACCCTGAAAGTAACAACAACAACAACAACAACAAAAAACAAATATACTGGAGAAGAAAGCAGAAATTGAGCTTTTTTTTTGATTTTACTCACAAACTAGAACATAGGATATATGTGACTTTCTCAAGCCTCACAAAAACTCACATCAGGCTTAGATTAGAAATATTTGATGCTCTTTTTGTAGACTACGTATAACTCCTGATGGAAAGACTTATAAGAGAAAATGGATTTTCTAGATTCTAAATTTATATGCATAAATTTAGATTATAAATGCAAAGAGACAAGGAATAAAAAAATGAATTTTCAGTTACCAATAACTGAGGTTCACGGTTTTCATCCACAGGTGGAAGTCCAGTTATTATTTCTAGCAAAACCTATGAAGACAAAAACAAATCCATTAATATAACACTAAAGACAACATACAGGAATACAAATACTCCTGTGGGCAAGAGCTGAATGTTCCTGCTTGGTATGATTTGTGGTATGATTTGGCAGGTTATTTCCTGGGTCTGGGAATGCTTATTACTACTAATTTATATGGAAAAGTTTTAAGCATTCAGTGGTAGGTTATTTCTAAAATAACCTATCAAATCATACCAAATAGGAATGGTGTTATTTTTTAAAAATTCATTTTGCATAGAAGAACTGGGGTGTAGGCCTGACGTACAGAAGTTGAGGGGATTCACCAGAGACAGGGTGGAGAGCAGAACAGGCAGATTGACTGAAATCCTCTGCTGAGAGGAGCAGAGGGTGAGAAGACAAGAGAGGTCTGCTATGCTCTATGAGGGTCAGCTCCCTGGCCGCGGATTGAACTCAGGCTGTGTTGGTGACAGCGCTGGGACTTAACCCCTAGCCCATAAGGAGGCCTGTAGGAATAGTCTAATTTTGTACAAGGGGGGAGACCAGCATGACTCTTGACGTGAAACCTGAATAATCATTTCCACACACTGTGTATGTCATTCAGGGACCGCAGCAGAAAGCACAGGAGCTGTGGACACTCTTCACCAGTCTTCTTCCTTCACAGACTCTTGGAATTCATCCACTCCCAAATATAGTTTTTTCCTATTAGCAACTTACTGAACAGTCTCCACTCAACACTCCTTTTCTTGTCTTGCGGCAGTTTTTCACAAGAACATTTTTTTCTTATTCTTAGCAGAGTATTATTTTCTAAATTTTAGACCTTACTCTTTTGCCTTCATTTCACAGTTCTATGAACTTCAATTCCTATTTATGAAATATATGAAAAACTAAAATGAGGAAGTGCCCAATTTTTGTAACCACCCCCACATGCCTCTCATTCCACCTTAAGAATTATTAGGAGGGCCCTCCCTGATGGCACAAAGGGTTAGGATGCAGCACTGCAAGCTAGCCACGGCTGCCTCAGTCCAAGTTCAAACCCTGGCCCCACATGGCACAGCAGACCTCTCCTGACCCGCCCGCTGCTCCCCACAGCAGTGTACTTCGTTGAACTGCCTATTCTGTACCTGGCTCTGTCTCTGGTGAAGCCTCTTGCTGCCCCTGCACCTCTGGCTTCTACCCCAGTTCTGGGCATAATAAATAAATCTTTTTTAAAAAAAGAAGTATTAGGAATAGAGTGCTACGTCAAAGAAATGACAAAGCATATTTATTTCCTTTAAAAATATGACAATGAAGGGTATATAGTATTTTATACATGACTTAAGCATAATATTAATTCATAAGAATAATATGATAAAAAGTTTTTTTGCAGTAATTTTGAAAAACAATGAAAATGTTTTATAAATTGAGAGATTTTATAACTTTCTCATTTAACTAAAGTTGAAAGAGAACAATTCATGTCTATATTTTACATAGCAGAGTCAAGCAAGAACAGCATATTCAAAATATTTTTACTGCAATTCCAGTTATAGTTAGAATAACTATTGTTACTAATTTATACATGAAACTTACCACACCAAAGCTGTAGATGTCAGATTTGGGTGTGATTTCTCCTCTCAGAGCTTCAGGAGCCATATAAGCCGTTGTTCCCACAATTCTACTAGTCATGACTGTTTGGGCAAACTTTCCAGAAGCCCGTGCAAGTCCAAAGTCAGATATTTTAGCTGTAAAGTCCGCATCTAATAAGATATTTGCACTGAAAAAATATAAAATTTAGAGGAAAAATATGTTCTTTTTTCCAAGTAATTCAAACTGTGTCTAAGGTAGATGCATAAGGACAAATAATTTACAGAGTATTTTATTTCATAGTATGCAACATAAACATCCAAAATTTTGTAACCAAATCTAGAATTTAAATTAGTGCTAAAGAGAAATAATTGCTCCATTTTGTTCTTACAGAAAAATTTTACGGGAATAAAAGTGAAATGAAACTATTCATATTTGTAGGAAGTACTTTTATTACTTCACAAATAAGTTATTACATTGTAATTTCCCTCAAAGTTTCCTATTTACTTTCTACACCTTTCAGTTTATTAGAAACAAATTCCCAGCCAATATATCCTAATTACTCATTTCTTTATTCTTTTCTTCTTTATTATCTCAACTTTTTCAAAGAAGAAATATGATAAACTGATCTTAATGCATTTCTTATGTACATTCATTCATATATTCATACTCCCATTCAACAAAATTTTATTATTGAGGATTACTATAGTATTTCAGCTTGGTACTGGGCATGGTAGTCTTTAAATCTTAATTTGTAATAAAGTTGTATGAATAATTTAAAGTCTAATGAATAATTTTTTAAAAATCAGTAAGTTCCCTTTAACAGTGATATTAGGTACAAAATCTTGAAAGAAAAAAACATGTGCCTGGAAGAACTAGGGAGAATTCTAATGAGCAAGTGAAAAGCATGGTTAGTCTTAAATGTTTTTAAGAAGTTAATGGCTAATTGAGGAAAAGAAAGGAATTACAGACAACATGTACAAACTGATGAAAACATAAAAACACATGGTAGTTTCAAGAAATTTGTGTCAATGGAACATGAAGAGAATTTGAACTTTATTCTTTGACAAATATGATACCGGCTAAAGTGTTCACAGTACCGAGTAGGTGCTATCAGACTTGACTTTTAGTGTCATAACCAGGCAATGAGTAGATGAGAACTCACACAGAATGGTTAAAGGTTGAGGGGGATGGTTTATAAAAAAGCAAATAAGAGACAATAGAAGACTAAAGAGCTGGGGCAAACACAAGTACAAATTTTGAGGCACACTCAATAGTATTTAGCAATGAGTATGATTTGGAACCTGAGAAAGTCTGGAGCTTAGCAGATAGGACAACAGTGACTTCATTTGATCAGCAAAGGAATACAAGAGGAAGACTTTGTCTTGCGAGAGTTATTGACAGAAATTGACTTCTGATATTTTGATTTCAGCGTTGCTTAGGACATCTAGACGAGATGTGTTAGTCTGAAGGTACTGAAAATTGAGGACTAGAGGCTAAAGATACAGGTTGAGAGACACTCATATATAACTCACTTTACAAACTACTTCTGTTGTAACATCGTATCTCTCTTCCCACAGGCATATAAGTATAGGCTAGTCTCTACAATCAAAAAAAGTTTCCTGGGGGCTCCCTGGTAGCCTAGGGGTTGAGTCTCAAAGTTATCTGCCCCTGCCTGAGTTCAAACGCTGGCCCAAGTAGAACAGCCCGGGAACGCTGGCTGTTCCCTTCAGCAATGAATTTCAGTAGATCTGCTTATTCTGTTCCTCACTGTCCCTCAACTCTGTCTCTTGAGACTCCCCTCATCTGTCTCCCCACCCCCATACCCAAGGCCTATACCACAGTTCTGCTATGTAAAATTTTAAAATAAATTAATTAATTAAAAAAAAGTTTTGGGGACCCTCCCTGGTGGCATGGCAGGTTAAAGCACAGCACTAAGAAGTTAAAGCCACTTTAGCATGAGTTTGATCTCCGCCCAGGAGGCAATCCACATGATGGCAGACTTCTTCTGACCTGCCTGATACTCCCCTCAGCAGAGTGTTTCAGTACATCTGCCTGTTCTGCTCCCCACTCTGTCTCTGGTGAATCCTCTCACCGCCCCTGCACCTGTGGCTTGTACTTGTTCTGTATGCATAAATAAATAAATCTTTAAAAAAAAGTTTCCTGAATGACAGCTTTCTCCAGTTATTACCATTCACTGTCTAAAGGTCTTAAAAGACTTGTCTATACTCACGCTTGTTTCTCCAGCTTCCTTTTTCTCAACTACCACCTACTTCTGACCCAACTACTACATGGAAGTTGGTCTCTAATGACCTTCATGGCACTAATCAAGTGATTACTTTTCAGTTTCCATCTTGAACTCTAAATAGTAACTGATTCATTTGACTATCCCTTCTTGGGAAATTTTGATTTCCTTGTTTTCAAGGATACCATATTTTTTTTGGTAATTTTGAGACTCTGAGACTCCTTCAATTCTCTTAAAGTTTCTCAGAGAACAAAGTGGGGAGAGAGCACAGTGGATGAGGGTGGAGGACCAGGGGTACTATGGTGCTGGGTGTGCTATGGTGAGGACACCTAAAGGGGGAGGTCCTATACTTCCAAAACACTAATGACGATGTAAACTATTGGTACTTCAATACAAAATTTAAACCAATAAAGTTAAAAAAGAAGTTCTGGGCCCTCCCTGTGGTGCAGTGGGTTAAAGCACAGCACTAAGAAGCTAAAGCCACTTCAGCATAAGTTCGATCCCCACCCAGGAGGTGACCCACATGGCGCAGCAGACCTCTCCTGACCTGCCTGCTGCTCCCCTCAGCAGTGTACTTTGTCAATCGACCTATTCTGCTCCACACTCTGTCTCTGGTGAATACTCTCATCGCCCCTGCACCTCTGGCCTGTACCCCAGTTCTGTATGCATAAATAAATCTTCTTTTTTTAAAGGACAGTTCCTTATATATTGGTTTCAGGATCTTTCTGGAGTCTGTATCTCTCCTTAAGTGAATACAATGATATGACTGCTTCAATTATAACCTGCATGCAAGTAATACATGGATTTATAACTTCAGCTCATTTTTCTTGCTGCAAATCTGTATGTCACACTATCTGTTTAACATTTCCACTCCTGTATCCGTACTATATGCAATGTGTACACAAAAATAAGTCAGACTGCCCACACTCTCCAATTTCCTGTCCCTAACCAGGTCCTCTTGCATGCTCATTATATATGTAAGCGAATCATGCCCTAATCAATCCAAAATGAATTCTAGCAGCCATACATCTAGAGTCACTCCTTACACGTCTCTTTCTCATGTCTTTGCAATAAAGATATCAGCAAATCCTACCAATTTAATTTCTAAATCTGTTCACTTCTCTTCTATGAACTATGATCATGTTAGCCTCCTCACTATCCTTACAAAATTTTAACATGATAGACTTCTAAGATACCCTTCAGCTGTCCCTTCTTACAACTAGTCCTTTAATTTTGGTCAAAGCAATTTTAAAACTGTAATATGATGCCATGTTCCTGGTTATAATTTTCAATGAAATCTGACTATAGTTACAATAAAACTAAAATCTCCATCCTGGTCTATCAGGTCTTAGTCTCAGCTCCTTACCTACCTCTATAATTTTATTTCACATCAGTAGCACTTTCAATTTCTGCACTTGAGGCACAATGCATTTATTTCAATTCCTAGAATTCATCTTGTTACCATGTTCCCTATCACTATTGGTTTAGTAAATGCGGTTCTTTCTGCTTAACGTGCTTTTTCCTCCAATTTTATAACTGCCCTCAAGTTGTGTGGATCTTGGTTTAATTATGACTTTCTCAGGGATTTTTTAAAATACTAATGATACATGCTAAAATTCTATTACTTTTAGTATTATTGTGATCATTTGACAGATGTCAAACTCTATGTTATTTTGCTAATGATATCATTTATCTAGCATATAGCCAGCACTTAATTAAAATGTGTTAATTAAATAGATAAAAAGAAGAAACAGAACTGAAAAGTACCCACAAAAGATGAAGGTGATCCAGAAGTTATAATCCAGAAAATAAAATAATTTTAACCAGGCAAAGTTGTTAAGAACAAGAAAATAACATGGAAGAGCACTAAATACAGGCCGACTGCATTTTGAATGAATGAGACTGGACATCGTTATGAGAAAGCTCTAGGTTAAATCATTACATATCAATAGTGGCTAGAAAGAATGAGAACAAGCTATTCTTTAATTAGGGTTTTCTGAAACTTTAAAACTAGCACTTACCTTTTAATATCTCTATGAATGTGGTGGTTTTCATGTAAAAAACTGATGCCATTTGCTGCCCCCTGAGCAATCTTATACCTTATGTGCCAAGTAAGTGGTGGAGTTCCATCCTTAAGAAGAAATGAACCAATTTTTAAAAAAGGTGAAGGATAAAAACAATCTATACAAAATATATGACAGAATATTTTTCTAAGCAACTACTGAAAATAGTCATTTATTTATAACAAAGAATTTATGACTATTTTATTTTATTTATTTATTTTTTTAAGATTTATTTATTTGTGCATACAGAGCTGGGGTACAGGCCAGAGGTGCAGGGGTGGTGAAAGGCTTCACCAGAGACATAGTGGGGAGCAGAACAGGCAGATAGAGGAAGTACACTGCTGAGGGGAGCAGCGGGCAGGTCAGGAGAGGTCTGCCACGCCATGTGGTCACCTCTGGGACAGGCGGGAATCGAACTCATGCGGAAGTGGTTTCAGCTTCTTTAGTGCTGTGCTTTAACCCGCTGCGCCACCAGGGAGGGCCCAGAATTTATGACTATTTTAAAGTTGTCAAAAATAACCTCTAAATAAAATCAAATGGGAGTTGGTGTTGCTTTTTTTGTTGATAAAAATATGTAAGAGGATCTTCAAAGTGTAGCCTTGGTTGCTATTTTTAAATTTTAGATTATCACCCACTAAAGTGGAAACTTCAGTTTACATATCAACGATGTGATTTTCATAGAGAAGAGAAAAAATACTAAGATTAATGGACGTTAACTGATTCTGTTATACAGTGAACATTATAGCATTTCAACACAGAAACAGAAAGCCAAGCAATATGATGAACAAACACCTTACCAAGCAAGACAGTCTGTCCAGTAATGAACCATTAGGCATGTAAACATACACCAAGCAAAGGTCATCTCCATCACTAGAGAAACCCAGTAGTTCTACTAAGTTTTCATGTTGACATCTGTGACAAATAAATTCCACTCAGAATTATTATGATAATTCAGCTGGAGGTTGAAAGTTATTCAATTTAGAGCTTTAGCAGAAAAACCGAAAAATGACATATTATGACCAATTTATAGTGAATGTAGATTATGGACTGGTGTTAATATGGATCGATATTAGAAGTAAAATCTCTTTCTATGTAATAGTAAGAGCTTAACAGTTCAGATCGTTGAAAACTACGATAGTTTAAGGATTAGGCTGATAGTCGCTTTTGGTTAGCACAACGTGCAATGATAGCATAAATAAGATACCAAGAAATATGTTCAAACATTTATGATAACCCTTTTAATAATTTTCTAATATATGCAAAACATTGATTTATAGATAGCTGATCTTCAATCACATAAAACTTACATTTCTGATCTTAAGTATTTCTGATTAGTTATAACCTATTCTGAATTATATACTAGAGAGTAGCACAACTGAAAAGTGAAGTATGACAAAATTGTAGGCATCTGCGGTATAGTAAAACGAAATTGGGCTGAGCTGAAAGTCCTAAGTCTATAGTCCAAGTGAATTAAGTGAAATATACCGACAATATGGTAAGGATGCCATGTAAGTGCTTACTCATTTTGTTCAGTTGAAATGATCTGTAATTCTGGCATTCATTTTTTTTTAAAGATTTATTTACTTATGCATACAGAACTGGGGTACAGGCCAGAGGTGCTGGGGTGCTGAGAGGATTCACCAGAGACAGAGTGAGGAGCAGAACAGGCAGACTGATGAAGTACACTGCTGAGAGGGCAGTGGGTGAGACAGAAGTCTGCTGCTCCATGTGGGTCAGCTCCCTGGCCTGGGAATGGAACTAGCTATAGCTAGTTTTTTAGGGCTGTGCTTTGTTGTGAAGCACTGAAGTAGCTATAGCTAGTTTTTTAGGGCTGTGCTTTGTTGTGCCATCAGAGAGGGTCCCCACATTTCACAATTTTAACTAGGAATTCCTATAGTCATATATTTAAGAAGTGCAAATTTAAGTGATAAGAGATCCATTTTCTAACAAACAGGCACACTTTAAAAATACGTTTAAAAGCTTCTTTTCAGCAAGAGTTAGTAACCAAAACAAAGAGACATCCTATTGAATAGAAGGAAATATTTGCACTCTGTACAACCAATGAGGGATGATAGCAAAGATCTACAAAATCTTTACACAGCTCAATAAAAACAAAGCCAACTGAAAACACACTTCTCCAAAGAAGAAATGCAAATAGTCAAAGACATATGAACAACTGTTTAACATCACTAATTATCAGGGAAATGCAAATCAAAACCACAGTGAGATACCACCTCACACCTGTCACCTGTGAGAATGGCACATATTTAAAAAATCTGGAAACAAATGCTTCAGAGGATCTGGAGTTAAAGAACCATTTTATACTGCTGGTAGGAATAGAGAATAGTCCAGCCAATATGGAAAACTATGTGGAGGTTACTTAAAACACTACCAGTGGAGCTACCAGGTGATCCAGTAATTCCACTCCTAGGAATCTCCCCAAAGAACATGAAAATACTAATTCAAAAGGAAACCTGCACTCCTATGCTTAATGCAGCACTATTTACAATGGCCAAGATATGGAAGCAACCCAAATGTCCCCAAATGGGTCAAAAAGTTTAGTATACATATACAAAAGAATACTACTCAGTTATCAAATGAGACAGAATCATTCTATTTATAAGAAGATGGATGGCGCTGAAAAGGATTACGCTAAGTGAAATAAGTGAAAGGGAAAAGATATATATTGGATGGTTTCACTAATATGGGAAATAGAGAGAAATCAAACAAAAGATCAAGAAAAAGATAAAGCTTGCAAGCTAACCATAGGTCTGAGGTATACAGCAAGGGAGAGGGTGAGAGGGTATAAACAGGGGATGGAAGATTGCAAGGGACTGAGGTGATTGCTCATGGGTGCTGTAGTGGTTGGAGAGCAAAAGGAACAAACTGTAGGGGAGAAGCCAATTACCATAGATAAGAAAATAAATAAATAAATAAATTTAGAGAGAAAAAATGCTTTAAAAATTTGCTGATTTTGTACTTTATACAAGGTATTGTGGGAATTTAGTTGACTTGGTTTTATTTAAACCTTACAATACCTTAACATAGAGTACAACTACTATTTGATTTCATAGGTGAGAAAACTAGTAAGTACAGAGTTAGGAAACTTGGCAATGTTATTCTGTAATAAGGTCCAGGGACTACAACTTATTAAAACAAAGTGGTGATATTCAATGGTGGAGGTGGGCATGAAGTTTGGAATTGTAATAAATTGCTGGTAGGAATATAAATTACCATGACTTTTCTATAAAGTCATTTGTTCTTATACTTAGTTTGTCTTTATGTTCACACATTCTGAACCAGTAACTCTTGGACTCTTGCTGATGAAACAGAGATGCATTTCAAGATCTATGGACAGAGAGATTTAAAGGACCTTTATTTTGTAAACTTGAAACTTAGTCATTATTCTAGTGGAATACTGGTTAAATAAAATATAATTCTCATATGATAGAATAGTGTAAGCTGTAAAATGTTCTAAAGTTATTTGTAGTGAGATTTTAAAAACTTCATACATTAATAAATATAAAACATATAAAAATATCAGAAATAGTTATCTCTGACATATTTGAGATTTTTACTACTTAAATATGTTCCTGATTACCCACTTTGAGCTCATAACTTTAAGGTTGAAGAATGAGGGTAAGGGTGAGGAAAGAAGATACTGAAAGAAATAGTTTTAACTTTTTGTCAGTCACTTACAGTTGTTTTTACTTTGAATGAATGAAATCCAGTTTCTTATTTCTTTCTTGAAGTAAAGCAACTAGAATTTGAGATTTACAGCAGTAGATATAAATAATGTAAATTCATATATCCCACTGGGTTTCAGATCAAAAGCTCAAGCTCTGAAGTCAGACAGATCTTCAACTGAAATCCACTTCTAATATTTATTGGCTGTGTGGCCTTGGGCAAGTTATTAAAAATTTCTAAATCTCAGTTTAAAAAAATGGGGTGAACCTGTAACAGTGGTTGCAAGGGTTGAATGAGAATGCATTGTGCTGTGTGGCATTTTTGTGTAATAAAGCATATAACATACACCAAATATGGATCACTACAATTATTAGAATAAATTTCCTGATTTCTGCCCTTTTTGATGATATCTAACAATTTTCTACCATATTGGGTCACTGCCTTTATGTATTCATGCATATAACATTGCTTTATTTGTATCTAAGGACCTAAGGACCTATTGATTATTAACCTATAAATACTTTTTTAAAGAGTACCTCTAAAGTTGACCTCCTATGAGTTCTGGGAGCAGAAATTATGATAATGAATGATAGTTGAAATTCCATGTGATTTTGCTATGACTTAGAACAATGATGAGGAGATGGGCAAGATAGTGGCAGAATGAAGATAAAACACTGAGCTTGCCTCCTCCAAACACAACGAAACCAATGTAAGCCCTTGAGAACAAAAGTGACTACCACCAGGCACAATAAGTAGCATTCCAGCCCTACTGAAAGGGGTAGGAAGAATGCTTAAATGAACTCTTGAATATAATAGAGCAACATAACAGTCAAGGAGGAAAAGCAGCGGAAGTGCAAAGCCCCTGTCCAAAACAGGGCACTGCAGTGGATACGGGTGCATGAGTAGACCTCAGGATCTTGAGTGCACTGCAGGAGAGCCACATAAGTGGGAGCAGAGAGTGAGGAGTCCTGGTTTGAATCTGAGGCTCATTAACAGAGAATAGATATAGAGTGAATTGGGTCAGAGCACATAAACTTCTCTATCAAGAGACTGGATCAGTGGAATGAATCATTGAGCCTAATGACTCATACCATCACCTAATCTATGATAAAGCAGCAATGACTATAAAATGGGGAAAGTACGGTCTCTTCAATAAATGGTTCTAGTAAAACTGGAAACCATTAACACAGAATGAAGTTGCATTACTGGTTAATACCATACACAGAAGTAAATTCCAATGTTGTAAAGATTTAGATGTCAGTCTTGAAACAATAAAATACATAGAAGAAAACATTGGCCATAGCTTCCAAGGTATCAGTGATAAAGCTATTTTGAATAAATTGAACCCTGTGGCAAGAGAACTAAAAATAAAAATAAACAATTGGGATTACTTCAAGTTTAAAAAGCTTCTACACAGCAAAAGAAAATACAAGAAGATTAAATAGATACCTGACTGAATGGGAGAAAATACTTATACAAATGTTTACACATTTATACAACAAATTATAAGTGATTCACATCTAAGATCTATAAGAAATTCATATACTTCAACAATAAAAAAAAAAACACATTACCCAATTAACAAATGGGCAGTAGATATGAATAGACAAATCACCAAAGAGGATATCCAGAAGGCCAAAAGACATACACAAAAATGTTCATTGTCACTTATATAAAAGAGATAAAAGAACCCTATTGCTCTGCTAGTGGAAATGTGAACTGGTGAAACCATTTTGGAAAGCAGACTAAATTTATCTTAAAAAAATTATGACCCAGCAATCCCACTGTTGGGCATAGAGAACCACAGATTGAAACTATCAACAAAAATCCCCAATATTCCACAATATTTACAGCAAATTATTTACAATAGTTAGACCAGGAAGCAGCCTAAATCTCCTTCAATGAACAAATGGATCAGACATCTCTGGTGGCGCAAGGGTGAAATCACAAGACTCCTAATCGCTAAGGTTTGAGTTTGATCCCCAGCCAGGGAGCTGATCCACAGATCACAGCAAATCTCTCCTGTTCACCTGCTGCTCCCATCAGCAGTGGACTTCAGTATATCTGCCTGTTCTGCTCTCCACTTGGTCTCTGTGATTGCTCTCACCCCCTGCACCTCTGGCCTATACCACAGTTCTAGACACACATACACACACACGCACACACACCAAAAACCAAACACAAGCAGATCAAGAAGATGCAGTATGTACACAATAGGGAGTATTACATTTCCATAAAAAGGATAAAATACTAAAATAGTGCCATTTTCAACAGACTGAAATTAATCTGAGAGAACTATTTGAAACAAATTAAGATAGGATGATAAGAAACAATACTGGATATTCAAGCAACATAAACATGTTCAAAAAATAGTGGACACCAAAAAAACATTATGTGCTAAGGTTAAAGGGAAAGGTGGGCCCTCCCTGGTGGCGCAGCGGGTTAAAGCACAGCACTGAGAAGCTTAAGCCACTTCTGCATGAGTTCGATCTGCGCCTGCCCCGGAGGAGATCCACATGGCCAGGCAGACTCTCCTGGCCCGCCCACTGCTCCCCTCAGCAGTGTACTTCCTCGATCTGCCTGTTCTGTTCCCCACTCTGTCCCTGGTGAATCCTCTTACCCTCCGCATCTCTGGCCTGTACCCCAGTTCTGTATGAATAAATAAATCTTAAAAAAAAAAATTTTAAAAAAAAAGGGGGAAGGGAAAAAACAAGGGAAGGTGATGGGGAAATAAATAAAATATGATTTAATACTATTTAGGTCTTTAGCATGCGAATTTAGGCAGTCACATAATTACAGATTAAAAATTCTTTAATTCCTTAAATCTTGATCTTAATTTTACATATTTGAAAATGAGTATCAGTAGTTCATGGCACACAATAAACTAGTGTTCTTTTTGGCTGTACCACACTGCCACATTGACTTACTTTGCCATTACTTTTATTTCCTGTTCAAACTGTTCCTTCAGTTCTTCAGTACTAATGTCAACCATCTGAAAAAATAAAATGATATACAATTTTATTCAATACAATTACCTAGAAGTTATTGTGCTTGAAGTTAGAAAGAAGTACAAGAGATGTGCTGGCTGATTCTATTTCTCTAAAATAGTACCGTATTATTCTTGACACTTTCTAGATTACTGAAAACTGGAAATATTAGTGATTTTTGCTTAAGATCTGGGTTGGTTAGCTGAAGGAAAGAATTGTATAAATTATATAAACATTGAATTATTATGGCAACAAAATGAAATGATATGTGACGTAACTGTGTAAACACTTAGAAAAAAATCTGTGACTAAAAACATGAATAAATTCATAGGCCAAAAAAAAAAAAAAGCAAACCTGCAAATGTTTGCAACATACATGACAAAGAATGTTTATCTTTGTTATATAAATGTTATATTGAAACTGTTAGAATATAACCAGTGAATAAACTCTGAACACCAAGCAGAAATGGGAACAAAGAAAACAGGCAGGAAATTTTTCCTTTTTTTCCCTTAATGAATAGTCTCTAAATTTTATTTTTAAATGAGAAGAGCAATGGAGAATGTCATTTTTACTTACTTTTTAAATCTTGATTATGCAGAATCATTAAGGAGAGCAGGGTCTCTAGCTTATGAAACTCTCTAAATTATATATATATAATCATAAGTATGTGTGCAGGGAATAAATGGCTTTTAACAGATTTTTTAAATGTTAAGAACTTCCAGCTCAGAATGATGTAAGGTAAGACCCACTAAAATAATATATGTCTAAGGATTAACATTTATAAGCACATTAGGAAGTAAAGCTTCCTTAATTATTTTTAATCCTGAAAACATCACCTACCGTCGCAAGCTTTTTCACTGCTACAGTTCTGTTGTTCACATAGCCTTTATACACAACTCCAAATCCTCCCTCTCCCATTTTATTACCACCCACTGAAATGGGTCGTTCATCAAAGTTGTTTGTGACATTCTTCAATTCATAGAATGAAAAGCTGTAGAAACCTATGTCAGGAAAATAACGAAGAAAATGTTTCAGTGAAAAAGTTTCCATAATGTCAGTATTTTCTCAATTTGATTCTTTCAGAAGTATGCAAGTATTCACAACTTTGGATTAGGCATGATGGGAGAGAATAAAAACATTTGAAAATATAAATTTAAAGCTTTTTCTTGAGATTTCTGTTTGATAAGTCTCCACTCCAAACATTAGTCACTTTTCCTTTAAAATTCCCTTTCAGCCTATGTTGATGGCAGCACTATTTACAATAGCTGAGATGTGGCAACAACCTGAATGCTCAGAACAGATGATGAGATCAAGATGAGGTCTATATACACAAGGGAATACAATTCAGTGATCTAAAATACTATTCAGTGATAAACTCATGTCATTGCAGCAACATGAATGGAGCTAGAAACAATTATGCTCAGAGAAATACGTCAGAATGGAAAAAGTATCAGATGGTCTCACTTGTGGGAGAAGTATAGGGGACAGGAAGAGAAAAAAACAAAACTTTCAGGCAAACTATAGATGTGAGGCACACAGAAGGGAGAGGGGAGGAAAAGGGACCAAAACAGGGGCGGGAATAACACAAGAAACTATGGTGATGGTTCATGGGTGTCTTGGTGGTGTGAATTTTATAGGGAGTACACCAGAGAGGAGAAATCTAACTTGTACAAAAATAAACAATGTAAAAATATATAAATAGAATAAAAAAATGCCCTTTCACTTTATGTAAATATTTAACTATATTTTTTAACCTCTGTGGTTGTTTAGATGTCTTATTGCCTCTATTCACTAATAGCACAATGGCAAATACAATGAAGATGGTGCCTACTAAATTGGGAAGAAGCAAAAAGAGCTACTTCTAGAATGCACAACAACAGGAAAGATTAAAAGAGCTACTTCTAGAATGCACAACAACAGGAAAGATTTAGTTTTTTAACTTTTATTTTTTGGTTTATAAGCAAAAGACATTGCGCACAGTTCTAGGAGCTGGGAAGTCTGAGATCAGGGTTCCAACATGGTGGGGTTCTGATGAGCGCTTTGCCATGCTTCAGCCAGATGACTTTTCCTATATCTTCATATGGTGGAAGGGGCAAAAAAGCTCTCTGGGGTATATATATCTATATCTATCTATCTATACACACACACACACACACACATATATTAATAATATAGTAGTTTATTTTTACATCATTTTGTGCCTTTTTCCATCTCACTGATAATCCCCTCGGAGGTATTTTTTTCCTTTTTATGATTGGTGGAAGAACTGGGGTGCAGGCCAGAGGTGCAGGGGGTGAGAGGACTGACCAGAGATAGAGTGGGGAGAACAGTGAGATCCACTGAAATCCACTGCTGAGGGGAGCAGCCAGTGAGACAAGAGAGATCTGCTGTGTCATATTCCCTGACAGGAGATCGAACTCAGATTGTAGAGTTGATAGTGTTTATTAGACTCAATGCTTAGGCCACCAGGGAGGCCCGCCAGGATCTTTTTTATAAAGGCACTAATCCAGTTCATGAGGGCTCCAACCTCAAGATTTGAACACCTCCCAAGGGCACCTTTCACAGGAGAGAATAAATAAGTAGTAATAATCTTCATGGTAAGCTCACAAGTGGAAGAAACTACAAATATTACTTACGCGTATCACTAAAATTTTCTGGACTTGAGGAGTCAGGTGGCATGTAATTTTGTTCTAGATTCTGCACAGGTATCACAAATGTCCTGTCTTTGCCAGAGAGAGGAATCTGTTTCAGCTGGGTGGTTACAGTTTCTTTAGAAGGTAATGTATTAACAAATTTGGGAACAGCTTCTGCCAAATGAAATAAAACACAAGTTGTTCTTTAAGAAAATATACTTGTGAAAGAGTTAAACTAGGGCCCAGCTGATTTAATATCATTCCAATTTCAAAATTATGTCCCCTTATTTTCACAGAACACATAATTAGGTACCTAGTAAGAATCTGTCAGTTTTGATAAATTTGGGAAGAGAGAGTAAGGCAGTGTTAGCAAAAAGTAGTCCTTGAGCCATAAAACACATAGACCTTGAACTCAATTGCAGAATTCTGATAGTGAGGCTTGGAATAGGGTCTAGGAAGCTGCATGTTTAACAAGAATCACAGACAATTCTTATATACACTAAAGTATGAGACCCACTGGTGTAAGTGGCATCAAAGGGAAAAAATGAGGAAATTATGTGGAAGGATACTAGATACTAACGTACTCAACACAATGTTAGAAAATCATGATCACAGGCAGTCCCATTAGGATGAAAGTTGAAGGTGAAAAAAGGCAAAGACTCAAAATAATAATTCTTACAGCCTAAACTAGATATCTAAATATATAGATATATAATATAGTCAGCATAAGACAACTTGACTTCAATAGTGGATCAGATTCAATCACAAAGCCTCCATCTCCTTAGCAGAAAGGCTATGGTGTCCAATTCTGGGTGCTTGTTAGAGTTGGGGAGAGTTAAAAGAGCATAAAAGGTCTCACATGTAAGGTATGTCTACTATGAGAAAAAAGAAAGAAGAAATGTTCCCAGTTTTGCCAGTTGTCTTTCCATCCTAGCTGTAATCCCAGTCACCTGTAGTTTACCTGGTAGCAAAAGACTTGCAGGGGCAAAAAAATCATTTTGAACCAAAAGATCCACGAGCTCACCAACTGTACAATTTGTGGTGCCCCAGTCAAACAGTAATTCACAAGTGGGGCTTTTTCCAGTTTGAAGTAATGCTTCAAATCTCCTTGAAGCAAGTAACAAAGAAACCAAATTAGTTAACATGAAATCTGGAATATTCTCCAAATCCGTTTTACCCATAGCATCTCTTATAAAATTAAAGGGCAGAAAGAGAAGTAGAAAGAGTTACAGAGAAAGAAAAGAGATGCTGAAAGTTATGATACTATAATATGTACTGAGTACTTACTGAGTTTTTACTCAGTAGACTACTGCATAAATGGATTTATTTAATTCTCAAAGATATGATTATCACACTACTTACTGATGAGAACACCAGGTGTGGAGAAGTAATGAGCCCAAAGCTTCATAGGCAATAAACTGAATCTACACTTATACACAAATTCAGATCTTAGTTGACATAGGGTGTGTTCTCAACCTACTAACTTTATTACTTCCCTGGTGATTCACGAACTTTGCTACATGATTTTAAATAAATCAGCCTGCTGAAATAGAACATAGACTTGAAATAGAACATAAACTTGATGAATTATTCCTCAAGTCTTAACGGCATATTCTTTTCTGCTTCATCACATCAATCATAAAGTTCTAGTGCTACTGAACCACTATTAAATGGACCCCCTCTACACTTGCCCCTCACTTCCTTTTTCTTCTCCACTCCTGGAAACACCCATGCTTTTCAGAGTCTAAGTTATTTCTATTGTGCTTTGATGGTTTGTTTGCTTTGGTTATTTACATTTGATTTGTGTCAGAAATCATAGGTAATTGCCTTTCATTTTCTGGCAAAAATTTACTCTTCACATAGATTTACTAAATCACCAGTATATATTTTACCATATTTGTGCTCTTTCCCTCCCTCCCTCTCACTGCACACTTTGGAATGTAGGCCAGTGACTTTTAAAATGTCTCATAGAGTCAATTTGCCTACTTCATCCTCCCTACATTATAGTGTAGTTATACATTTTAGGCACAGGTGGCAAAATGTCCTTTCCACTGTGTCACATCTGGAGGCATATTGTGGCAAGTTCTATTATGGGTGACACAAAGCTTGATTACTTGCTTAGGAAGGTGCATGTCAAATTTCTTAATAAAAGTAACTTTCTCCTTCATCATTCAAAAGTCATCTGTTTTGAATGCTTTGAAATCCTGTTCCTCAACAACCTTTCACCTTGTGGCTTTACCCAGGGAAGAGTGCTAAATGAATCAACTACTCACTGATGGTTGTAAACTGTCAACTTTTTCAGTTTTATCATTTTTTCAATATTTCTTTGTTGTCATTATTCTGTGAAGAGCTTTTCCTCCCCATTGCCTCCAAAAGTTTTTTTTTTAAGATTTATTTATTTATGCATACAAGAACTGGGGTACAGAGTAGAGGTCTGTGGGGGGGGGGGTAAGAGGATCCCCCAGAAATAGAATGGGAAACAGAACATGGGGATCTATTGAAATCCCCAGTGATGATGAGGGGAGCAGCAGGCAAGACAGGAAAGGTCTGCTGTGCCAGGTGGGTCAGCTCCCTGGCCTGGCAGCCAACTTGTACTACAGTGGCTGGAGAGAGCTTCATAATGTTGCGCTTCAACTGCTTGTGCCACTGGGGAGGCCCCACCTCCAAAAGTTTTTAACAGTAATATACAAACTAGCTTTAAAAACTGGCTTTTGAGGTTTAACTTTTCAGAGTAATCAGACACACTCTCCCTTAATGAGGAAACACTTCCTCAAAACAGTAACATGGGAGCTAAGGTGAAAATCACAATGAAATTTCTTTTCCTCTTACTTCCAAAGGTTAGATTTTTATATAAGTTTACAGAGGAAGATGCAAATTATCAGAAGACAGTGTTGAAAAATACTGACTAAGAGTTGAGAATTCTGGGTCCTCCCCGGTGACTCAGCAGGTTAAAGCACAGCACTCAGAAGCTAAAGCCTCTTCCACATGAGTTTGATCCCCACCTGCACTGGAGGTGATCCACATGGTGTGGCAGACCTCTCCTGACCCATGTGCTGCTCTCCTCAGCAGTGTACTTCTACAGTTGGCCCGTCTCTGGTGAATCCTCTCACCACCCCTGCACCTCTAGCCTGTACCCCAGTTCTGTATGCACAAATAAATAAATCTTTTAAAAAAACAGTTAAGAATTCTGCCCATAGAAGATACATATGATTACAAACAACTTTGAAATGTCATTGTGGAGAATTCCCAAAACACACACCCTAGAGGTTTAGGCTCCTAATTTTACTACAACATTCTTATAATATTTCAGTGTGGAAATGAGAAGTATGAAGCAGCTTGAATTATACTTGGCTTGCTAAGCAGCGCTAGAATACAAGTGGGAGTCTTGAGGCTAACCCAAAAACTTATTTGCTGGATCAGTAGCCTAACTACTGAAAAAGAAGAGAATGAATAAAAATGGTTTAGAAATAGAAAAAAAGAGGTTACTTCCTGTAATATCTATACAGGATAATGGTTTACTTTCTGAACTGCAGCACTTGACAGTAGTTCATATCTACTAATCATTTGAGATTATGATGTAAAAGTTTAAATAGTATTTCACGTTACCTTATGTGAAACTGATTGTATCTCTCCTCACCAGATGGTTTTTTAATAGCTACTGCTAACTTTTTCCATCCTTCCTGAGGATCAATAAAATCTGATAGCTTCCTAATTAGTCCAAAATTGAGGGAACGCACATATGTTGAAGATGTTATAGGTTTGTTCATTTTTTATTCCTAAAATATGGAAAATTCACATTAAAATTTTACAGTAGTTTTAGCAATGACATCTGTAAGCTTACCCATCACTTTTTTATGTTAATGAAATGCTGGTAACAAATTACACACTAATAAAGGAACACTCCAAAGTCAACTAATAGTTGACATCTAAACAAGAAATTAAAATTGCGGCTTATTTGTCTTATGGTCTTTTTTGGCTTGTTTTTCTTCATCTCATTTATTAATATCAATACAAATTAGGTTTTTTTCTGACAATGATATATTCCCAGGAAAATTTACACAAAGGAGCCAAAATGTCCTCAAATAATTAAAAGTTATGGTTCATTCATTGACTTCCAGTGTGCTCTTCCTAACCCCTCCACATCACATGGAGTCCACCAAACCTGCTTTATCCCAAGTCTTTACTTACCAAGCCAAACCTGTGCTTTGTTAACTTACTCTCTAACAGAATTTTTACTTCCTTAGTCCTCTTCTTCTGCTACACCTCCTGGATAAAATGCAGACAGAAATAAATTTCACAATTTTGTCTGTATACCTGCAGGCTGAATATAGCTGTAGAGATGTAGGTAACTGAGCAAACCAATGTGAAAATAAATTTACAGGAACCCCTTTTCCATCAGGCCTCCAACACTGCTGTTAATCCCTTGTCTTTTTCATCACCCTTAGTAACTATTTCATACTTTTACCTACATGTGGTTCTATTTGATCTCCAACTCCCTCATTCTCAGCAGGTAGACACTTTTCCTTTTAATTAATCAGGACAAATAGACTCTTCTTCTGTCAAGAATTCTCCTGCCCGCCTCCATATTTTTATTTATAAAATACAATACATTTTATATACTTACATTCATGTGATACAAAATTCAGCAGCTGTAAAAAAGGAAGCAAAATGTCCCCTGATAACCTAGGACTCTAAATTGATATTCTCTTATTTGGTCTTCACATCTAACCTTGTGTTTACCCTCAACTTATTTTATCACTATATAATGCACTTACAATTATATTTTTATTTGCCTAGTTTTTAACTGTCTCTCCTCCCCCAATCAACTATAGGATCCAAGAATTCAGAACATATGCATTATATCCACTAATATATAACTAGAGAGTAGCATATTAAAAATATTGGCATTTAAGTGATAGGAATGAATTTCTTGCCCAGTGTATGCTGTTTCTATATATCATTTAACTCTTACAGTGACTAAGGCAATCTTCATTCCACAGTCTCTCAGAGTTATGACTTGACCTAGGGCAGACTCCAAAATTCATGCCATATATTCCTTCTTCTATAACTCAACACATTGCTTATGCTATTATCTTTCTAGGAAAACCAATTATTTCACTTTATTCTTTTATATACTCTAAAACCATATATCTCAGGCTTTGTACTAAATGATGAGGCTATAGAAAAGAGAAAATCTTTGTTTTTAAGTTTAATAGAGTTACAATTATGATGGGTGATAAAATGCTACATCAGGTATATAAAGAAAGTTTTAGGGGCTCCGAGTATCAAGCAGAGGCAGTCTGTAGTAGGAATATCAGACAGGTTTGAGTGGGATGGGAGGTTGGAAGGGTAGGTGAAAAGACCTAAAATTTCCTTTTGGAGGGTGGGGTAGTGAATAGCAGAGAGTAGGATAGGAGAGTACCTGTTAGGCTCAATCAGAGTTTGCTATAGCTATGTTACAGGAAGCATGCCATTAAGTAGTGATATGAGACTAAACAAGGTCAAATTACTTATATATTTAGATGCTAAGACAAAGGATTGACACTATATTAAAAGTTACAGGAAAAAAAAAATAATAATGAACAGCTATATACCAGAGACATTTTATGGGAGTGTGGTGAAGAATGGGATCAAAAACAGTGTGTGGAGGGAAATGCACTGGACTATGGTGATGGCACATGGATGATTTGGTGATGGGAAGCCCATGGGGATTACAACTGAAATGGAAAAATGCTCAAACGATGTAAAAATAAACTTATATCATTAAAAAAAATTACAGGAAAGCCATTTCAGTACCTTTAACATTCTGTTATGTGACAGTACTTGGTTAAGTGGTTTTTCTTTGGGGAATAAATGGAAAAGAAGTACATTGAGGCAAAAACTGGTTTGAATTTTGCAATAATCCAGATCAGTAGAAATAAGGGCCTGAAGAAACTGTAGCATAGGGAATGGGAAAGAAAAAAAACTATAAATATTTAGGAGGCCAAATCAAAACAGTTTTGAGAAAGAGCCATATTAGAAGGGTGCATTAGGAAAACAAAGATGGCTCCTGGATTTTTTGGCTTGGGCAACTATGATGATGGAGGAAAGAAAATGGTCTGTTTTGGCCATGTTAAATGTGAAATCACTATGTCTGACACCATCGAGAGGAGTTGGCATTAAATAGCTAAGACGTAGTCTGGGTAAACGTTTAGGAGAGAGGGTGAGTGGAAAATGCACATTATGTGAGTATTCTCAAGTATTCATATGTGCATCATTGTTTGAAGCAACAAGTAAATCTGAGGTTGCCTATTAGGAATATATAAAACTCAAAGAAGTGAAGAGAAAGAATAATCTTTAAAAAGTACCAATAGGTCATGAAGCCAAGAAGAAAACCAGTAACACACCAGAGATTTCTAGTATGGGGGAACAAGTTCGTATAAAAATATCAGAGAGGGGAAATGAATTTGGATGGGTGTGTGAAATATAAAAACCAGAAGGGCACTGAATGGCTGGCTTATGAACAGATGTAGTGGAGCAGTGAGTGAAGGGGCTTTCCAAGCAGTCTGACTATACAGAAAAGAAAGTGAGACAGAGGTGGCAGCAATTCTTAAATTTGGTCTCAAGACCTGTTTGTTCTTGAAAAGTATTTTAGACTCCAAAGAAATTCTGCTTATGTTGGTTATACCTAGTAGTATTTAGTATATTACATATTGACACAGCTAAATTTAAAAATTACTTAACTAATTCCTTTAAAAATATGAAAAGCTAGCATTCATGTTAATAAAAAACATATTTGCCAGAAAAGAATGACATCATTTTATAGTTTTGCACACATCTTTAATGTTTAACTTAGCAGAGACATATATTATCTGCTTCTGCATTCAATATATTACAATGTGTTGGTTGGCTGATACGTATGAAGAAAATTCAGCTTCATATAACATATAAAGATATGGGTAAGAGAGGAATACTTCAGTAAGTTTTCACAAAGTAGTTGATATTGTTCTAAGCTATACTTGACATGAGATAATTTCCTAAAAGTTAGCTGCAATGTGGAGTCTGGAATTGTATTGATAAACATTGCCACATGAAAATTTGTTGCATTCTGAATGAATCTTGACATGTATGTGATTTTGATACCAAATAGGAATTAATTTATAAGACTGTGCTTCATTAGCACTCTGGCCAGAGGAAGGGCAGAGAGAAGGGTGAAAAGAAGATACATTTTGAGGTTTGATGGCCCTGGGTTCTGATCATAACTCAACCACAAATCTACAGTGAGTAGAGCCAATTAACTCAATTTCTCTGGACCATGGCTTCTTTATACGAAAAAGAGACATAGTAACACCTTAGAGTTGCTTGAACATATAAAGTTAACAAATGCAAAGGGTCTAGTTTTGAGACATAACAGGTAACAAAAAAGTAGCAATTATTATTTTATGGCAGAGTTTTTATTATAGCATGGTTTAAAAAAGAAATGTATTCAATTATATTTGAATTCAACTTTCAAAATTATGGCTAGGGGATATTTACAGACTGAAAATAAGAGTTTTAAGATATAAACTTTTCAGAGGATGGCTTCTGTTTTATCAAGTATATTGCTTAATATATTTCTAATCTTTTCAAAATACTCCCCTGCTTTAAGAAAAGTAGACTGCATAGTCATTAATTTTTATTTTTGAACATGTCATTATGAACATATGGGGCTATTAAATTATATAGGATTATACAGGCTTACTCTATATATTCATAACCCATTACTCTCAAGCATTAATTGAACTCAATGATAAGTAACAAAATATTTTTTGAAACAAAAATCACTAACTCAACAAACATTTACCCAGTGTCTAATATGTAATGCAATATCACTGGAGATACAATATTAAGAAATTTGGCAAAAAAATAAACTTCTGAATTCTTACTTTAATAGAGGAAGGCAGGTAATAAATAAATTCTACAGTTAATTAAATGGTGCCAGTTTGGGGCTGGGTAGAGGCATTTCAGGTTTTGTGTGTTTTTTTTTAATATGTAATAACTTACTTTTACATCATTTTGTGCATTTTCCCATCTCAGTTGTAATCCTTATAGGCTTCCTCTCACCAAATCACATTTCAGTTTTTAATAGCATAAATTAGGCCTCAGTAAAATGGTGCCATTTGATTTAAAGTCTGAAGAAATGAGGAAGCCAACCACTGGGAAATCTGTGAGAAAAACTGAGGGCAAAAACAATAGAAAATTGTAAGAACTAAAACGTCCAACTGAGAAATAGCTAGGACAATGAGACTGGAGAGAAGAAAGCAATAGTCTGGAGAGAAGTCAGGGTCACATCTCTGAGGGCCTGACACCCTTGTGTTCTGTCTGTCGTGAGAGATGAGAAGACGGGTTGAGATGGGTGTTGAGATGAGGAAAGCCAGGTTCTATACTCATGTCTTAAAAGGAAATTGGATTGATTCTAAGATAACAGATACTGGAGTCAGGGCAGTGAGGCAGGAAGACACCAGGTGGGAGGTGTCGGGTGGGGGGGAGTGGTGGCTTGGGGGGTAACAGGTGGGAATGTCGTGGGACCAAGGTGACAGCAGAGATGCAGAGTCCCAGGCAACCAGACACTCTTGTGAGGTGGAGTAAAAAGAACTTGCGCTGGTTTGTAAGTTGCAGATGTGCGGGGAAGCACCAAGGTTTCCTGCCTGCGCAAGTTCCTGACACCCAGATGGAGGAGACGGTGTGAGTTTGACCTGGAAGATCACACAGAATGGAAAGAAAATTCTAACAGGTGTTCAGCATGCAGACTGGAAGATGAAGGAAATGGGAGCTTTCAAAAACAGCTCCTCAAGGATTCCCCAGGAAAGGTACTGGTAAAGATAGTATAGCCTCGGCTCTTAGTGCTCTCGGGACAGAAACTCTGAGGCGTTAACTCGAGATCTCCGCTTCCGTTCGAGGTGGTTAAAACACGCTCTTGCTCCCAGCCCGACACTCCCGTCTGCTTTTTGCCCCTTTGCTTCCCCTCTCGCCGCAGGCCGTCTGGCACGCTCCCCTCAGCCGCCGCTCCCAGAGGGTGCCCGACATCCCGCTCGGCGTCCGAATTTCTCGGAAGCCCGGCAAACAATCTCCCGGCGGCACCAGGCGCGATGAGTCTTACTTCCTGCTTCTCAGGGAGACCGCATTTCCTAAACCGGTTCAGGAGCGGAGAAAAGTCCACGCAGGGCTGACTGACTGAGCTAGAGCAGGACGGCCGACACCTCTCCCGCCTCAGATCCTCCGCGAGATCCCACCTCCACCCCTCCTTCAGATCCCTCTTCAGGTCCCTCTTCAGATCCACGCCCCCCAAATCCCGCTTCATCCTCCTCTCCGCCTTCGGTAGCTCCTCAAATCCCGCCTATGCCCCTCCTCAGATTCCACACCAGGTACTGCCTCAAGCCACCCCCTCCCCACACCCGAGGTAGCGCCTCAGATCCCACCTCTGGTCCCACTTCAGAACCCGCCTCAGGTAACTTAGTTTTTTGTTCTTTTTTTATCTCCGGGCCCCACCCAGCCTATCCCTTTGCCAGCGCCCGCCATGCAACCCACTCCCCCTCAAACTTCTCACTTTGAAGCTAAAGAGACTCTCCTCCCAAACAGTCCCTCAGCAACCGGGGTCTGAAGGAGCTAGACGCCGGCGGACGCCGCGCGTTCGGCGGGGATGGTCTTACCTGCTCTAGTGCCCGGCGCAGGGGGGCGGGCACAAGCTGTCAGGCCCCGCCCACGGCCCCGAATCCTCCTTCCCCTTTTACTCCTCCAGAGCGCGAGGGGCTCCAGGTCTCACGCGAGGCACTTTAAGGGAGAGCCTGCGCCTTTAAGTGCGTTTCTGTGGGCGGCTAAATAGTGTAAGACTTCCGGGCATGCGCGCACGGTGTGAGAGGAACAAGCTGCTTAGAGGAAGGCTGCTTAAGGATGTGAGGTAGATCGCGGCCCGAGTCTATTTTACTTACGCTCTGGTTTTTTGTGAATGGGCCTGCGAGATCGGGACTCCCACTCTTTGCCCCAGAATGGGAGGTGGGGGGCACGTAGGGTAGAATCGCACCCCGGCACTGGATGGGCTGGGAAAGGGAGAGGGAGAATTGAAGTTGCCGTCTGTTCTCTGGGGCACTTTGGGACGCTCCTGCCCCACCGAGACTTCATGTGCGAGATTCGGTGGCAGACGTAGAAAATAGCAGGGGGGTTGGCGGGATCTAGGCAGTTGTTGCCGGAGGAGCTAGAGAGAAAAGGTCCCCCCCCCCTTGGGTCATCCAGATTTCTCGCTTAGGAATTCTGCATGTTAGTGTGCTAGTGCGAAACTCCACGTGTGCTCCTTGGCCACTCCCCAGCTCATTTTCAATCTTACTAGGACGCTCGGTTGTAATTCCTTCCTAGTTGTATTCTCCCAGGTTTGCTCTACCCATTGCACTTAGAATGTCTTCATTACCTCCTCCTTTTGCTGGGAAAAGAGGAGATCTTTACGACAGCTTCGCTCTTGATCACATTCTTCCCAACTCCTAACTCTTCTTCAAATAACATCCTGCTCAGGGTCATTAGTCACCTTACTAAAACATCCTTTTGGATTCTGGCATTTTTCTACTCAAAACATTCTAGTGTTCTTTAGAATCCACTTAATGGATTCTGAGTTCTTGATCTGCCATCCAGTGTCTTTCATAACGGCACAAATCCAGCAGTATTTTCCAAAACTGGACCAGCAATCCTTTCCTCCTGCTGTTCTGAGATGGACAGTTCATTTTTTCCCCAGCACACTGCATGTTTCCTTGTTACTTATGCTGTGCATCTGCCTCACTTTGAGGATTGGGTAGCTACTTCTTGCATTATATCTTTCCTGATTACTACAGGCAAAGGAACTCATTTTGTCGTTTTTTGAAGTTCTTATTTTGAATTAATTGTTTAAGTAAATCAGCAATCTGTATTGTGTACTTGACGCCATTCTAAATGTCATATAATTAGTGGTGGATAAGACAAAGTTCTCTATTGAAGTTAACAGTCTGCTTGAGGAATGGATGCAATAAATAATGAAGAGGTTATTAGAAATATTATGCAGAAAATTATATAAAGTTTTGTGAAAGACAATGATTTGCTGATATTGGCCAGGAAGGCCTCACATCCTTAAGGATGTGACTGGAGAAAGAACAATTACATAGCTGGAACAGTTAGCTTAAAGGAACTAAAGATTACAATGATTGGTGTGGATTACAGTGGGTGACAGTGAGTGGTGGGGAGAGGGTACAAGATAAGTTTGGAAAATAGAGTACAAAATCTTAAAAGTCAGGGTAAGTAATTTGGATTTTAGTACAAATGTGATTACAGAGTTTTAAGTAGGGTTATGAGATTACTTAACTTAGCTTTTAAACATTCTGCCTGCTCAGTGGGGAATGAAATATAGTGGATTAGTAGTAGAAGCAGACACTAGAGATCTACATGATGTCTGCGAATTTCTGGAATGGAAATACTAAAGTAGAGATTAGTCCTTTCATAATGGACAGTGGGAGTAATTCAGAGAGTGGATGCAATTTTTGGGGATAAGAAAGTTCTAAATGGGAATGGGTGATCAAGTTGAAGTGGAAATGGTGGTTGAAAGTTCTAAATGGGAATGGGTGATCAAAGTGAAGTGGAAATGGTGGTTGAGGTTGAGGAATTGAGGAACCATGATATTAGATGAATGATCTAATGATCCAAATGGATGGGCACAGATCTCATGCTGGATAGGAAGATAGTGAGCTGATGATAGTCATAATTTAATAAAATTAGAATCAGTGGAGACCAGACAAAATTACCAGATGTTAGAGAACATTGGAATGAACTTCACAGAAACTGGGGTTTTGATCAATAGAAAGGAAGAAATGAAAATAGTCTTCATTTGAGAGTCTATAGAAGAAGCAACCTGAGAAAATAGCCAGATTTCAATTAGGGTAAGAAGTTAACACTGCAGAAAGTTATTGCAAAGAGGAAAAGAAATCTATCCTACTAATTCCCTAGAAAATTAGGATATAGAAAATTTGCTGTGATTTCTACATGGCTTAGAAAGGAAGGAAGGATTTTGGGGGGTTATTAAATTTCTCCATATTATAGAAAAGGGATCACAGTACAGATGATGATAATTACCTAGAGAGTGTGGTTAACACAAAAAACTGAGTATATGGCACCCTGGGCAACTTATTTTTCTTGTAGCTCCATTGGATATGGTAGCTATGGGTTATGTGAAGAGGGAGTGAAAGTTTCTTATCTAGTGCTCTGAAGGTCCTAGGAAGCTCTGTAAGGGTTTTTTTTCTCTCAGATACCAGTGCTTTGATTGGACTTTTCCTCTGGGTCAACCTGAAGTTTTGTACCTGTAGTAGTTTATATCTGACTTTCAAGAAGGCTTAAAGTTCAGGACTAATTTAATCATACCTAATTCACAATCACATTGCAAATTTGCATTTAGAAATTCATTTATAGGGTCTCCATGGTGGCCTATGTGTTAAGTCTCAGAGCTATCTTTCTATCACCGTACAGCTGAGTTCCATCCCCAGCCAGGGAGCTGACCCTTATGACGCAGACTTCTCTTGTCTCACCTGCTGTTCTTAGCAGTAGGCTTTAGTAGCTCTGCCTGTTCTGCTCTCCACTTTTTCTGGTGAATCCTCTCACTGCACCTCTGGCCTATATCCCAGTTCTTCTATGCAAAAATAAATATATCACTGAATTTCTTTATTTTTAAGATTTATTTATCAGTTTGGATTATTTCTTCCTGTCTTCTCCAGTTCCTCTTATCCCTATCACCTAACATATTAATATCAAGCAATAGCTGATCTGGAATGAGCTGATGGTTTTAGACTCTAAGGATGGAGGTTTAGACAAGTCAGTATAAACAGCCCTTTCTTCTAGTTTCTTCTCTGTGGGCCTACAAATGATATTTTTAAAGTGACCATGAAACTGATACATTTTAGTCCTGGATAATAGAAAGAAGCTTGGAGTGGGTGAAGAGTCAAGTTATAAAGCTACCAGTTATGCCAGAAAATCATTGTTGATTCACTTTAATATAGACCAGAATCAAATTGAATACATTTAATTAATGTTTTTAAGGGGACTCAGAACTGAGAGGGAGAAAGAGAATTGAATAAAGTCCTGCAAACCTTTTATATTTTGTTAACTACAACTTCTCTTTCTGGTAACTGATTCCCTGTTTGTTTCTTTTGTAGGCGTTGTTATTTAAGAATGGAAGAGGATACAGACTTTAGAATCAGGTTTAGTTCTTTGTGTTTCTTTACTGATCATGTTGGATTTCATGGCACTATAAAAAACTCACCAAGTGACTTTGTTGTGACTGAGATTGATGAACAAGGAGAACTAGTTTACAAGGCCACTGATGAACCTATTTGTAAATTAAGTGAGTTATCACCTGAGCTAAATAATTCTGTTAAAAAAGCAAAACTTGATCTTCAAAATATATCCATTGAAAGAAAAAATAACCCAGAAGTCAATTCTTTGACTGAGCTATCTGCTGTTGACCAAAATCATCATTCTGGTTCTGAAAAGGAAGACACTATCAATGATATAACTACAAAAGGGGAAGAAGAAAATGTTGATTTATTAGGCTCTTTATTAGATGAAAAAATGAATGAATTACTGAGTCAGTTTGCTTGTGATGTAAAAGAGAAATGGGAATCTAAAACGGAACTACTTAGGCCATCTCCTGAATTCTCATTAGGCAGAATCCTTGATAAAAACCAGAGGGCTCTTTTGCATAGTGCTATTAGGCAGAAATTTCCTTTTTTAATAACTGTAGGAAAAAACAGTGAAATTCTTGTAAAACCAAATCTTGAGTATAAAGAGCTCTGTCACTTGGTATCTGAAGAAGAAGCATTTGACTTTTTTAAATATTTGGATGCAAAGAAAGAAAATTCTAAATTTACCTTCAAGCCTGATACAAACAAAGACCACAGAAAAGCTGTCCATCATTTTGTCAACAAGAAGTTTGGAAACCTTGTGGAAACCAAATCTTTTCCTGAACTGAATCATGAAGGTGGTAATCCAAATGTAGTGATAACCGTAAGATTTCGGGATAAAGCACAAAAGCAAAGGAAAAGGTCTCTTCTTGAAGGCCAGGAAAGGGAAGTTACACACACAGGTAATTTAATTAATCATCACCAATTTCTTGGATAAACTTAGGTAAATTTCAAGTATGTAAAAATTCAGTAATTTGAATTTGTCCAGAGGGATATTAGAAAGAATACATATGTGTCTGTTTTTTAAGTGAAAGATAAAAGTTCTTTAAATGATACTAGCTATACAGATTTGCCTTATTGATGAACAGGTCTCTAACAGAGATAGTAACCGGTAACATGGTCACAAACATGCACAGTTGAAGTAGCTATTTTGTATTTAGTAAATAAAATGTTGAAGCTCAATCTTGATTTCATATATTGCAAGTTATCTTAATTAAAGTATTGGAGATAAGTAGAATATATTTGCACTCCTTGAGAAAGTGAAGCAACTACATAATAATCTGGAACAATTAAACTTTCCTTTTTCTGGCAATGAGCCTGAAATTTCAACTTCATTTGTCTTAGAGGTTGTCAAATGGTAGTATTCATTATAATTGACAGAAACTCTTAAAACAAATATTTTAGCTGTGTTCAAATTTGTAATTGAGGAGATTTGCACAGGCCTTTCATAGATTTCCAGATTCATAGATGTCCAGGTGATACTTTCTCACCTGGCACCAGTTTGAGAATCATTGATTTTGGAAATGTGTTAGATTCCTAGGAAGAGAAATGGAACTGATTCATTCTTACTGTACAAGTTACACGGGTCAATTTTACTGGTCTCAGCCCTGCAGGAGGATTAGGAAATATTTCCTAATGATCATATATATTTTTTAAAGATTTATTTATTTATGCACACAACTAGAGTACAGACCAGAGGTGAAGGGGCGGTGAGAGGATTCACCACAGACAGAATGGGGAGCAGAACAGGCCAGGTGGGTCCGGAGAGGTCTGCCTTACCATGTGAGTCACCTCCCTGGCAGGAATCAAACTCATGCTGCAGTGGCTTTAGCTCCTTAGTACCCTCCCTGCACCACCAGGGAGGGCCCCTAGTGGTCATATTTTATAAATTTACACAGTAAAACATTTAAGATAAAGGCAGCACACCAAATTTGCACAGATGTGTATGGCACAGAAACAGGATTGTTCTCTGTGGTATGAAGGAAAAGAGATTGGACCTTGGAGCTATCTTGCTTTGGTTTTATGTGATAACTTCAGTTCATAAAAAGGTTTATGAGGCCCTCCCTGGTAGCACAGCAGGTTAAAGAACAGCACTAAGAAGCTAAAGCCATTGCAGCATGAGTTCGATCCCACCTCCGCCTGCCCCGGAGGTAATCCACTTGGTGTAGCAGACCTCTCCTGGCCCGCTGGCTGGTCCCCTCAGCAGTGCACTTCGATGATCTGCCTGTTCTGCTCCCCACTCTGTCTATGGTGAATCCTCTCACCACTGCTGCATCTCTGGCCTGTACCCCAGTTCTGTATGCAGAAATAAATAAAACTTTAAAAAAAGTTTATTATAAAGTTTATTATATCTTTAGAACTTAGTTTCTGAAATGTTAACATAAAAAACTAATACCATGGGCAAGAATCTTAACAATTTTTGTTTATACTTTAAAGTTGGGCTAATAAATAATAATTCACAATGATAATTCTAAGTATTAAAGGAAATAGTGGAAATGTTTAGTGCAGGACTTTGCAAATGTTAGCATTTTTTTGTTCTGGAAATTTCTGTCTGGTTGTGTGACTTACCTTTTTCATGAGAAATTTGACAAATTAGCATGCTGTAAATGTTAACAGATAAGTGTATTGGAAAGGAAAGCAAAAATCTTTGCATGTGAGAAGCAGAGGGAATTGCTGATAAATAATTTAAGCAGCTATAGATTTTATGTTGCTTAAGGTCCTCCTTGGTGGCACAAAGGGTTAAAGTGCAGAACTGCAAGCTAGCTGAAGCTGTGAGTTCAATCCCCAGCCCTGGGGT